CGTCATCCTCTCTCTTCACGTCATCCTCTCTGTCTCAGTCTCTGTCCTCACTGCTCCTCTGGGTGGGGTCCCACTCTCTGTTCTTCTCCATTGATGGTCCCAGGGCCCTGCAATCATAAACTGAGAGGTTAATCACTCCTCTCCTTGCTATAAAATGTCCAACTTTACATTTCTAGTCCTCACAATCAGTCCTGGTGACAATCATTCACCCTTGCATCCCAAGGGACCCATCGCATTTCTTTTCATCTGCCCCTCCCAGACAGGTCGGACACTTCTCACTGGAGACTCTACCATCCTCCCTGCCCTGTTGATCTAGGTTCCCTCTTGTAAGCCAGTCACTTCTTACTTTTGTATCCCATCTCCCATTTTTGGTTAGTCAATGCTTAAGTTGTCCATCCGTATCTAGTCTTTGTGTGGAGGGGGTGGGAATAATTCTTGGAGCAGGGATTTGTTTCCTCTTTTGAGCTACTGCATTTATAGATGGATGTCCAGTTTATCAGACTGTATCAGATGACACTTTTTTTTCCCCCTCTTTTTTCTTCTTCGGGTTGACCTTTGTTTGTCCCATCATTGGAGCCATGGCAAGTGGGTATCATCTGCAGGTGTGGGTGTTTCTGCATCTGTCCGCCCTTTTCTTACCAGTTGGTCACTTCGGTCTCCTCTCTAGTCCTCTGTGGATGTGTCACTGACTCTGAGCCTGTGAGCCCCCAGGTCTTGCATGACTGCTGGCCGATCAGGTCTCTACCTGGGCTCACCATAGACTGCTGAACGATGCAGGGCTTAGGTCACTGCTTCTTCGATGTTCTTCGGTCACTTCTCTTTATGGGTGACGTGTGTGGTTGCCAATCAGAATGCGTTTTCCCATTGTGTCTTAGTCTTGGAGGAGGATTTGCACTGAGAGGACCCGATCGCTTGCCTTGATATCTCCTGGGCAGACAGCTTGCTTGTTCTTGTGGTAACAGTCAGACTGCCCTTGTTGTTTTGTATGAAATATTATTTTTAATGATGAACATGACACCATTCATTTTTAATTTGTCCTGAAAAAAGATCCTGAAAGCTTTGCTCTGTCCATGTCATTAAGGTTGACTCAATTTTGAAGAGTCAGGTTTTTCCCAGTTGTATTTTGAGTAACTTCCAACCTGAGGGGGCTCATCTTCTGACACTGTATCAGACAGTATTTTCCTTCTATTCATAAGGTTTTCAGTGGCTAATGTTTCAGTAGTGGACTGCCTCATTTTTTCCCTAGTCTGTTTTAGTCTGGATGCTCTGCTGATACCTGCCCATCATGGGTGACCCTGCTGCTGGTATTTGAAATATCAGTGGCATTGCTTTCAACATCACAGCAACAAGGTAACCTCCACAGTTCTACAAATTGACAAATGAGTGGTAGCTTTTAAGACTATGTTAACATTTTCGGAGATTAATGTACCATTCATTAAATGATCTCTGCTTTTATATTGTCTTTTATGATCTTTTAGTAGTTTGTTTCCCTTGGAAACTTTTCTTTTCTTAAAAGCATTATTTATAATGAAGTAAATCAGTGGCATCACGGTGGATGATATTTTCCAGTACTGATCAATCCCTGGAGAAGGACATCATGAATGGTAAAGTAGAGAGTCAGTGAAAAGAAGGAAAATGCTCAACAAGACGGATTGACACAGTAACTGCAACAGTCAGCTCAAATATAGAACGACTGTGAGGATGTTGCAGGGCTGGGCAGTGCTCCGTTCTGTTAGACATGGAGCCACTGTGAGTCAGAATCACATCAGAAGCACCTGACACCACAGCAGCTGCAAGGGGGCTCTGTAGGAGAGCACATGGGTATTTTATGAGTAGTAGATGTCTCTGCCTTACTAACTATCAAAGGTCTTCTTTCATGACAATACTGTGAGCAACCGAAAACATAGAAGACATTGCTTTGGTCTTTGATGTGCTTAAAATCTAACCGAGACGATAGAAGGCACACAACTTGAAAATTGCCTCTATCAAGAAGTATGAGTTGAATACTTTCATCTCATGACTTAGTTTTTGGTTATAGTTAGCGTCTTCAGGCTATGTCATCCTGAGACTTGTTCTAGACTAAAGACGTAAACTAAAGAAGAGATTGCACATGAATTTTAGGGAGCAAGACTTATAAATTTGGTGCTGAATTTTAAAATTCTAGATGATTAGCTAGTGTTTTCCCGTCTGAACCTTTAATTGATTAATAGAAAACACTTTTATAATAGTTTTTTTTAAAGTATTGTACTGTAATAATACTAAATTGATAACATTTTTCCCTGGATAATTTTTCTAATTCTCTATTTTTTTCTCAACAGGGATATTTTTGAAGAAGATAACTATAGCCCCATCCCTGTTGTTAATGAAGAAGAATATAAAATAGTTATCAGTAAATTTCCCTTTCAAGATCCAGATCTTGAAAAGGTACAAGCTACTTTTTAATTCAAGGACTTTCTTAAAAATAAATTTGTAATGTTTATTGCTACATGAAATTAACCTGACACGGTGAGAATGACTTCTTTTGGGGCAATTTTTGTTGTTGTTGCTGTTTGAAGCCTTTGAGTATATTTTGTTAATGCTTAAAGACTGTGTCATCATCATCGTTATTGTTACTATTTTGGTAAAATTAAGAAGGGGCTTTCCTGGGGATACTAGGAACAATTGTCCCAAATATTTGGTGAATTCCCAAGGCAAATGTTACTAATACTGGGTGGATTCCAAGAAAAAGACTATATTCTGAGAGAGAGTATAATTTTTTGGAAGTAGCTAATACTTTGGAAGGTTTTATTTTGTAACGTCATTCCGTAAGTGCATTTTTAGAAAGCATTTCTTTTGATTGAAGAGAAATTTACAAAGGCAGTAGACCAGTACAAACACCTTCCTGAGTGCACATATTAGGCATACACACACAAACACAGACACCTATCCTTTATCTATGTAGAGTCATAGCTCATGAAAAAAGACTATTTCCTGTTACTGTAATCCTTTTGTTTCCTTTTTCTTTTTTAAATCCTTTTCTCTTCTTTATTCTTTCCCCAACTCTTTATAATTTAGTTCTTTCTACATTGTTATCCCTTCAGAATGAACAAGACTGTGAACTTTCACTGCAGTCTTTTGTTGTATTTTTTTACATAAACTAAGCACTCAACAGCGACAAGCATATTATGTGTGGTGGGGGTGGTGATTGTGTGCCACAAAGTCAGTTCCGACTCAGAAACTCTGTATAAGGTTTCTAGGCTGTAAATCTTTATAGGAGCAGAAAGCTTTATCTTTCGCCTAGGGAGTGACTGGTAGATTTGAACTACTGATCTTGCGGCCAGTTCATAATCCACTATTGCTACCAGGCCTCCTTATATTATGTGTGTTGTTGTTAAGTGCTGTGAGTAGATTCTGACCCATAGTTATGCAACTATTTGCTATTAATTCAAATGCGAAATGAATTGTTTTATCATTTTTACATTTTTAGGTGATTAAAATGTCTTAGTACAATTTCAAAAGTCACATGAACTTTTTCTTTATACAGCAATCTTTCCCAAAGAAATTTCCCATGTCTCAGTCAGTGCCTCATATTTACATTCAAGTTAAGGAATTTATTTATGCCAGCCTTAAATTTTCAGAGTCTCTACATCGGAGGTAAGTTTACTAATAAGAAATGCCTTTTTTTCATGAAACATGAGCATTGTTTTTATGCTGTGACTCTTTATTGGATTATGATCTCATTGGAAAAGTTTACATATTTAGTGACATTTAAAGATAAATTGCTATAAATCTGATTATTTGTTTCTTTTACCTTAAGTATTTAAAAGTAAATTTGAGAAATAATGTTTATTTTATCCTTAAATACTTCACTATGTGTTTATAAAGTATAGACATTTCATTTCATGACCATACTTAATACAAGGAGCACTAATTCCATTACATAAATTCCTAAGCCCTTATCATACTAACTGTAAAAATACTTGTTAGGGACAATAAAAAAATCTTAATTAGGGACAATAAAGAAAGCATTGATAAGGACTTAGGAATTTATTTCATGGTAAAACATATTAAATAACAAATGAAAAGTGAAAACTTTATTTGGACCCTGATTCAGACATTATTGTTGTTTTTAAATGCTGTTGAGTTGGTTCTGACTCATAGTGACCCAGTGTAGGGTTTCTGAGGAGCGGCTGATGAGTTTGAACTGTCAACCTTGTGATTCAAACTGACTCATAGTGACCCAGTGCACAACAGAATGAAACATTCACTTTCTGGTCCTGTACCAACCTCACAGTTGTTGCTACACCTGAGCCCATTGCTGCTGCCGCTGTGCCAGTCCATCTCGTTGGGGGTCTTCTTCTTCTTCTCCAATCCTCCACTTTACCAAATATGATGTCCTTCTCCAGGGACTGGTCCCTCCTAATAATATGTCCGAGTATAAAAGACAAAGTTTGGCCATCCTGGCTTCCAAGGAGCATCTGGCTACAGTTTTTCCAACACAAATCTGTTTGTTCTTTTGGCAGTATATGGTACTTTTTGTATCCTTCTCCAACGTCATAACTCAAATCATCACTTCTTCTATGGTCTTCCTTATTTGTTGTCTAACTTTAATATGCATATGAGGTTATTGAAAATACTGTGGCTTGGATCAGGCACACCTTAGTCTTCAAACTGACACTTTTGCTTTTCAACATGTTAAAGAGGTCTTATGAAGCCGATTTGCCTACTGCAATATGTCCTCAGATTTCTTGACTGCTGCTTCCATGAGTGTTCATGGTTGATCTGAGCAAAATGAAGTCTTGACAACTTCAATCTTCTCTCCATTTATATGGATGTTGCTTATTGGTCCAATGATGAGGATTTTTGTTTTCTTTACATTGAGATGCAACCCATACTGAAGGCTGTGGTCTTTGATCTTTATCAGTATTTTAAGTTGTCTTCACTTTCAGCAAACAAGGTTATATATTTCATCTGCATATTGCAGGTTGTCAATAGATCGTTCTCTAATCCTGATGCCATGTTTTTCTTGATATAATCTGGCTTCTCAGATTATTTGCTCAGCATACAGATTGAGTAAGTGTGGTGAAAGACTGCAACCCTGGTGCATACCTTTCCTAATTTTAAACCGTTTGGTGTTGCCTTGTTCTGTTCAAACAACTGCCTTTTGGTCTATGTACAGGTTCCTCATGAGCACAATAAGTGTTCTGGCATACTTATTCTCTGCAGTATTGTTTGTAGCTTGTCATGATCCACGTAATCAGAAGCTTTTGTGTAGTCAATAAAGCACAGGTAAACATCTTTCTGGCATTTTTTGCTTTAAGCCAAGATCCATCTGGTGTCAGCAGTGATATCCCTTATTGCATGTCCTGTCCTGAATCTGGCCTGAATCTGTCAATGTCTGATTGTAGCCAGTTTTGTATTATCTTTAGCAAAACTTTACTTTCATGCGATATTAATGATACTGTCCAATGATTTCCACATTCCATTGGGTCACCTCTCTTTGGAATAGACACAAATATGGATATCTTCCAGTCAGTTGGCCAGGTGGTTGTCTTCCAGATTTCTTGGCATAGATGAGTGCCTCCAGTGCTGCATCAGTTTGTTGAAATATTTCAATTTTTATTCCATGAATTCCAGTGCCTTGTTCTTTGCCAATGCCTTCAATGTACTTACTTCAGTAACTTTGGCTCTGAAATGGTTGAACATCAACCATTTCTTGTTGGTACAATGACTCTGTATTCCTTCCATCTTCTTTTGATGCTTTCTGCCTCATTCAATGTTTTGCTCTTTTGGTGTTAAGTGCTGTCTAATCAGTTCCAACCCATAGTGACCCTGTATAGGGCTTCCAGGGAGTGGCTGATGAGCTTGAACTGTCGACCTTGCGGTTCAAACCAACATTGCAGTCTAGTACATTAACCCACAGCACCACACCAAGACTCAGAATTTTGCTCATAGAATCCTTCATTATTGCAAATTGAGGCTTTAATTTTTTCTTCTGTGTCCTCAGTTTGAGAAATGCTGAGTCTGTTCTTCCCTTTTGCTTTTCTAACACCAGAGCTATGCACATTTTGTTATAATAGTTGACTTTGTGTTCTGGAGCTCACCTTTGAATTTTCTGTTGATCTCTTTTACCTCATCATTTCCTCCATTTGCTTTAGCATCTCTACACTGGAGAGCAAGTTTCAGAGTCTCTTCTGACATCCATTTTTTTCTTTTCCTTTTTTCTTGTCTTCTTAATGATCTTTTGCTTTCTTCCACTGCTTGGAAACCCTATATATGAACAATATGAGTTGGAAGTGACTCTGCGGCATTTAACAACAACAATTCATAGGGTGGTTGTAAGAATTAAATGGATAAAGCATGTGTATGAAGTTCTCATTATACTGCCTTGTGTATTATAGGCAGGTAGACCTTGGGATAGGATGGGATACTGCAATAGATGGAGTTTTATATGCACTGGAAAACTATTGAATAATTTTAAACTGAAGAATGACTTGATCAGAGTTTTATTTGAGCCTCAGTGTAGAGTCTAAATTGGAGGAAGATATAAAATGTTGGAGGAAGATTAAAAAGAATCATGTTGAGATGAAGGTAGTGATTCAAGCAAGAGGTAAAAACTGAAATAGGTTTAGTGGTGACAGAGAAGAACAAAAATATTTGTTGTTGTTATTAAAGTGCCGTCAAGTCGGTTCCAAGCCATAGCGATCTTGTATAGGGTTTCCAAGGAATAGCTGGTGAACTTGAACCTCCAACCTTGCAGTTCAAATCGACTTTGCAGTCCAGCACATTAACCCGCAGCACCATGCCAAGCAGTTATATGATGATATTCATTCATCCTCCATTTTGTGATTTGATGTGGTCATCCTCTATTTTTGTGTAACAGCCTGGTCTTGGTACCTACCCATGTTGATAACAGGAGTAGGTATATTTGTGTACATTTAGATGAAGAAGTTAAGGGATAGAGAACAATTTGGATTGTATTTGGTTAGACTTGTTCATACAAGAGGGCTTCAGAAAGGTCATGCAAAAATTCCATTATCTCTTAATTCTATTTTTCTGCAAACTTTTGATGCCACCGCATATACTTTCATCTTTGAAAACATTTGATTCTCTGTTGTCCAGGAAGTGAGCAAGATACATGTTTTCATCTGTTATTTTTATGTAAGTAAGAGGAAGAGACATTTAAAAAAAATCTTGCCTTCATAGTCATCTTACAACTTGGGTAAAATCGAATAAAGTTCTGATTGAGAATTATTCTTGAAGCTACTATCTTGAATCTATAGCATTATCCCCTTCATCTTTTCCTTTAAATGCAAATTATTCAAACACTCTCTAAATTGGTAGTGTGTACAATTTGCAGTTCTACTATATCCTATAGGTTTTCTCTGAGTCAGAATTGGCTTGACAGCAAGGGGTTTTTGGTTTGGGTATGTCTGTGGTTATAATCCAATTTGAGAATGAGTTTTATGTTACATTAATGAGGCAGCAGGATTAGTGTAGGGTGTGTCTTGAGTCAATCTCTTACAAGAGATAAAAGAAGGAAGCAAAAATGGAAGAGAGATGCCAAGCCACATGAAAATCACCTAGAAGCTAAAAGAGACAAAGATCTTCCTTCAGAGTTTACAAAGAAAGAAAGCTTTCCCATAGAACTGTCACCCTGAATTCTGATTTCTGTCCTCCTAAACTGTGAAAAATAAATTTATTTTTGTTAAAGCCACACACTTATGGTATTTCTCTTATAGCAGAATTGTTGTTAAGTGCTGTTGAGTTGGTTCTGACTTACAGCAACCCGGTATAGGGTTTCTGAGGAGCA